GTTATCAGTATTAATTTCAGTGGAAGCTTTTAATCTGACTAAGCAATTTGTGCAAATTTTTTGACCAGGTACAATATTGATCCTGTTGTTTAAAACTATGGTTCTTAACGTGACTTCTCTGAGAGATGCTAAATTAAAAAATATAACTTAATAAAGTAAAATGTGCCTACTATTAACAAAAATAAAGAACTTAAAATTATGACAAATTTACTATTATAAAATTTATGACAAGCTTTACTAACCTTTGCACGGTCTTTTGTGAACTAACAGTGGATCACAGCATTTATTCTGAAACACAGGGAACTTCTCAAGATAGAACTTTTGATGATGAAAACATAAGTCAATAATCAAAACAGAAGAAACACCAGACCTTAGCGCAACTAAATTTTGCTCATCTGGAGCTAAATCTTGAAAAAAGTTTATTCCAATGTGGTTTGTAAATGTTAACTTGTGACAACTTGATTTTAAAATCAATCCAACTGAGCATTGTGATGTTCCATCCATTATAAAAATATTTTATTTAAATATTTTATTTTTCTAAAACTATTATTAAATAAATAATAAATTCTCGCATGAGTATTATAATCAAAATTCAAATGTCAGAATCAATTGCTCCATTTAATTAATACAAGAAGAAATCAGAAATTCATTTTTATTTTAAACTAAATAACTGTAATCATATGATTAGACTTATTTAGTTTAAAATAAAAATGAATTTCTGGGTTTCTTGTTCAATTAATTAAACGGAGCAACTGGTTCTAACATTTAAGTATAACACTTATGCGAGAAATCATTATTTTTTTTGTGAGAAATTATTTTAGTTATAATCTTTAAATGGAGATTATAACCAAAACGGTAAATAAAAATGCAAAAATAAAATTGCAAAAATAAAACAATAATAAAATAGATATGTGCATCAAAAAACAATGAAATAATTTTTGCCTCTTACAGGCATTTATATATAAACTATTTTTGTAAAGATTTAAAGTGAATAGATCAATACCTTTTCTGCAATTAGTCTTAAACTAGACATGTTTACTAAAAAATTATTGTTAAAAACCCGGTTTGCATTGCAAAGTTTTTAATCAAATATAAGATCTAATAACTTTAAGTAATGATTTTTGATTTCTTTATTCAAAAGTTTCTATACCTATTAAATTTTGTAAACGAATGGTTAATGTAACTGTGTATACTTTAACATTTTAGTGTTGCTATAGACGTTGCTAAGAGAGCGGAGAATAAAAAAATTTTAAAATTCTTAAACTTCAAAGACCCATAACTCTTAAAAAAATGAAATTGACTCCAAATTATTTATGATTATTACTAACAACATTATTAACTGCATTTGTGCCAAAAACCAAGTATTTCTGAGATGGTGGGTTATTTCGACTTGTTGTTTTGACATGGAATTACCCGAACATTGTTTTAATATAAAAACAAGAAAATCCCAGAAAATTATACGGTCAACAATTTGACGAAGGTATGTGGATAAATTCTGGAACATTGGTAATAGGATAATTAAAGTAAACAAAAACTACTGAATCAAATATAATATCTCAGTTTTACCGTAAACAATCTGCATAGCGTAATAATTTATTTACTAAAATATAAAATGTCAGACAATTGTTTAGAAATTAAAACTTTTTAATCTTATAACTTACTGCTGCAAAACATTTGTCAGCTTTTCTTTTTCTGCACTTTGTTGCATGATCAATAATAAATTATTTAACTGTTTTGCATTGTTCATGTGAGGCAATCTTTTTTTTTGGAATTAAATTTTTTTTAAATAGCGTTTGCTTGCAGTTTGCAAATAACCACAGATGTTTTTTGCTAATTGGTTCATGTAATATATCTCGTCTTTTAAAGTACCCTAGTGCTGTGGTCTTGTTTGATAACTGAAGATATAGCTGAGTATGTTGAAGTATCAAGACGATTTATCTTTTGTTAACTATGGTGTTCATCATGCTGAACGATTGCTAAACGTGACGATTACTGAATATACTTAGACATACCTTGAAAATTTTACTAAGCTCTAAATATTTTTTACACTTAAAAACATCTGTCCACCAATAAAGTGGAACGACCAAACTGCAAATGGTGTTACTTGCAATTTAATGATAGACGGCTATGGCTTACATTCTTGCCGTCTCTATCGTTAACAAAGATTATTATTTCGTGGCGGGATAGCTCAGATGATTGGAGCGTTAATGGAAAAAGTTAAAACCCGGACTGTTGAACGATACGAGTTCAAATCCCGCCACCGCCAACTCAGCGCTTGAGTAGTACTTCGGTATGCAAAAATGTTGGTCAATAACGGACGCTACTTTGGATTAGTCTTAATGACTATTTGTGGCTGTTCCTATGCTAAGCCAACAATATCTTCGGATATAAGAACATTGTATAGAAAAATATAGCATGAAAACTCAAATAAAAAAAAAAAAAAAAAAAAAAAATTAAATTTGAATGAATTAAAAATAAAAAAAAATAAAAAAATTAATATGGAAATAGATATCGTGAAAATTTCAATTATAGAAAACATATTTGTTTAAATGCAAACGTTGTAGTATTTAAAATTTTATATAATATTTTTCAAACTAAACTTTAAAAAATATTTAACAAAAACCATCCGGAAATTTCTGGAAAATTAAAGTTTTAAAAGAATTTCCGGAATTCCGGGAATTCTCGGAAAAAACTCATCTATGATTATAGATGTTATAGATCACATCAGTTTTAGGATCATGTTAGAACTATGTCATATTGAGATTTTTGTGGGTTTATATTTTTACTAAACTTAGCGCTTCAAAAAAGTGCATAAAATGGCTCTTGATTAACAGATTGAAATGTTTATATATGTTTGAAAGTGACCCAAAATAGCTTTTGTTTTTTCATCAAAATTTTTTATTATTTTTTTATATTTTTACATAAAAAGATGGTTACTCAGTTTTAATTTGTAAAAATATTTAAATATGTCTTTAAAGATTTAATTGTTCTTTTTTCTGGTCGTTATATATTTAGATTTCTTTGTAAAGCCAATTATTTTTTAAAAGAGTTTTTATCAGTCTATAAGATGCCAAAAAGTTAGCTGCTCAAACTTGCTCCATTTTGAAATATATATTAAATTAGTACATTTTAAAATGCACTATTTTAATAGAGTTAAAAAACAACTGAAATGACATAAATTAATTCATGAGTTTTTTCATAACACATGAAAAATACTGAACAAATGAGCTCAACAGTTGTTTTCTCATGTATTTTACGTTTTCATGAAAAAAGTATATTTGTTTACCCCTCTGATTATATTTTATAACAAATTTTATTAGGCTACTTTTCTTAGTTAAATTTTTTTAAAATCAAATTTTATTTCATTTTTTAAGTAATTATTTTTGACAAAAATAATTTTGGCTTTTTTACAAAAAACTAAGGTGTAAAAAGTATACCCTAAACATAAAAACTAAGAAAATGTAAAAAATTCTACCACCATCCATTTCTCCTCTAAAGGATTGGGGATGGGTGTGGGTGAAAATTTAAAAAATTCTACCACCATCCATTTCTCCTCTAAAGGATTGGGGATGGGTGTGGGTGAAAATTTAAAAAATTCTACCACCATCCATTTCTCCTCTAAAGGACTGGGGATGGGTGTGGGTGAAAATTTTTGTCCAAATCTGATAGAAAGGGGGAGTGGAAATTTTTATAAGTGAATTAATATCTTTTAATTTTTAAGACATATTTACTCCGTTTTATAATTGTTTATAATTTTTCTAACTCTAAAGCTTTGTTTGCTGATTATTATCATAAATTTATCATATTTATTTACTCCAGTTTTGAAAGCTAACACTATTGAAACACTATTTGATTAAAACAAGCAACCGTATGAAAGTTTTTTTTTTAGGTTTTGAGAGATTTTTTTGTTGATAGAAAAGTATTTTGTTGATAGATAAGTAAAAATTAATAAACGGGTGGCAAAGCATAAATGGCGATGATGTTTATCTGACGGGATAAACTAGGTATTGGTGCTGAGCGTCTTAGAACCAGTAATAATAAACTCAGTTCTGAGGTGAGATTTATACTACTACTACATAAATTATGGTTACACAAAAGCAATAATGTTTTTCTTTATCTTATACCTCCTATAATTTTATAAATTAATAATTTTATAATTAAAATTACTGTTGACTCTTAACGATAAAATTACTCTTGACTATGATTGTGTATAAGCTTTTTAAAATAAATCTGTTTATTCTGAACATTTGTTCGTTTTTTTTTTGTTTTTATTACTTATCCTCTTTTATATCAAAAGTTTTTCAATCGAAACGTTTCATATTTCTTTGTGGGCTTTCATTGCTCAGTCTAGCTTAAGCACCGCAAATTACCTGCATCAAATATAACAAAAATTAATAGACAGGGGGAAAGGAAACGGTGAGGTAAGAGCTACTACTCATGACTTAACCAATATTTTTGATAAAATTTGATCCTACTCTGACAGTAAGTTCAATCCCGCGCTAATTAATTAGCTCATAATTAGCTCGGGGCGGGTGAGAAAATTTTCCGAAAGTTAATAAACGCCCCCTTCCGTCTATTAAGGACCTGAGAGATTAGAAGAAAATTGTTTGAACCATTTCCATTTAATGAACTGTAATAAATAAAACAACCCTGTTAGACTGATCCTATATTGGATCAAGAGGGGTTCTTTAGCTAATATAAAAACCCCAATTTAATTATAGAAGAACACGTAAACTTTGGATTGTTTCCTAGTGATCGTATCACAATAAAAATACTCAGTCTTGATCAGCAAAACAGTAAGAACAAATGCTTGTAGATAAATACTTTAACTCTTCTATGTCATATTTAACAAAGAAAATAGCATAATAGAAATCTACCAAGCTACACAAGTGTGAAGATTAAACTTGAGAAGAAAAATTTGAAATTGAATTTGAAAACTTGGCCATAATTTGAGCTTTATAAATATTTCAAGTTTTTTTTTATTTTTTACTTGCGTAAAATCAAGATGACAAAATAAAATTTTAAAAAAGATTTAAAATACAACATTTGTGACGTTAAGTAACTTAACAACTTCTTCATTTTTAGCTCCATCTTTTATTTTTTCAGTACCAAAAACTGAGGAGGAAAAATCCTGATCGTTATTTTCAATTAAATTTTTGCTCAAAGTGTCTTTTTCTGTAAAAGAACAAAGTTGTCGCAGATTTTCAGGTAGATCTTCTGTTTTCTGCATTTGTAAACATATAGACTCAGCTCTTGAAAGTATATACTCCAAATCGATTTTATAAGCCAAATCGTTAATATGCTACAAAAAGAAAATTTTTTTAAAGTGATAAAATATAAAAGTATATATAATAAATATAATATAGTAAATAAAATAAATATATAAGGAAAAATTATGAAGAATAAAATTACATAATAAAGTTATATTTTAAAATGGTTTTTCTTGAGTAATAAAAATAAAATTAAAAAAAAATTTCCTCTTAGTTTTCATGACTTGGCACTTTTCTATGTAAAAAAAAATATTACCTTACATATTTTTAGGTAAAACTTATATAAAAAGATCGCAGACATAGTTTAAAAAATGTTTCTCAATAAGTTTTTGTACTTGCTTTTATGTGAACTTTTTTGTTGTTGTTGTTGTTGTGATTTTTATAAATTTTTTAAAAAAATTTAAAAATCAAAAAACTCTAAAAATCCAAAATTGTTTCCACAACAGGAAACTGGTACGAGAAGCGTCAAACCTGAAAAATCAAGAGATATTCCTTCTGCAATAAAAATTAGCAGATTAAATCGTTTTAGTTAGAACCGACTTAACAATTTTAATTAGAACCGACTCACATAGCAGCTAATTTTTTTTAGCCATTAGTTTTTATGAGTATACAAGTTAATTTAAAGAAATCAAACTTTTCGGCATCAAGTTAAAAAAGTTGTGTAAATTAAAAGGAAGCGGTGAGGTAAGACTATTGAAGAGTTACTAAGAATTATATAAGAATTATTAAAAACCTTTGATAAAATTCGATCACACCATATACCTCATAGAACTGCACTCAAGATTTTTCTCTACACAGTGACCTTGTTTATCAAAGTTCATCTTTTGGAGTATTACAAATTTTTTAGGTATTACAAATTCCATTCTTGTTCCTCATATATATTAATGATTTTGCTGATAATTTTTACTTCTAAAATCCTATTTTCTAATGACATAACGATTTCAGTTTTGAAAGTTTTTTGATAGCTTAAATGTGATCTCTTTTATGTGAAAGGGGGTTGCAGTTGTTGGTGAATTTTAACACAAACAAAACTCAGTTATTGTTAATAAATATTACAAGATACCAAAGTTTTTCAACTGTTTTAAAGCTTTTACTTTTTGAAATTTAACCTGTAATAAACATTAAATCAAGTAACCTAGGAAACTATAAAAGACAAAAAATGCTCAAGCCTAAATATTTTTGATTTTCAATTTGCATAATTAGTACACAATTACTGAAAAACGCAAAATTTCATTTTAGAATTTTGACTGTGACTTGTGAGCTTAAAACTTCTATTACAATGACTGGCTATGTGTTACAGTGACTGAATGCATGTTACAGCAACTGGATATACATTAAATGACTGGATATGTGTTACAGTGAATGGATATGTGTTACAGTGAATGGATATATGTTATAGCGACTGGATGAGTGTTACACATCCAGTCGCTATAACATATATCCATAGTGACTTGATATAAGCCAATGATAACCAAAGTGACTTGATATAAGCCAATGATAACATATATCCGTAGTGACTTGATATAAGCCAATGATAACCAAGTACACAGTTAGTCGAAAAACCAAAAAACCCAGAGGTTAAGAAACTTTGAAAAGGTTCTTCACCAGCAGGACCGGAATTTTATAAATCTCAGAAGTAATTTCTAAAAAATAAATTATTAGTTGTTCTAGAACAGAGAAAAACCAATAAAAAAGACAATAGACAGTGTTGTCGCTCAGACAATAGGCGGTATTGGCACCAAAAAAATTTATCAGTTTTAAAGTCTTATATAAAAAAAGTCTTATATAAAATAACAATTTATAATAAAATAATAATTATATAAATAATAAAGTCTTATATAAAAAAGTGTTTTAAATGTTTACTGTATATTTAATCCATAACGCTTTTTAATTTCTTGACTATTAAGATGTTACTATCTTTTTTATAATCAAATTGAATATTGAAAAACTTTTTGACGAATCAGCTGCAACTAGTAAAAAAGTTTTGGTTCAAAATTCAAATCTTCTTTCACATTCCAATCTAAAGTTGTTAATTTAGTTATCTTTAAAGAATTAAAACTATTCACAAAAAGATAAAAAAAAAAATGTGTATGAAAATTTAAAATTTGTAAATTTTATATCAAAACATTAGAATTTATTATTCTTATTCGTTAAATATTTAATGGCTAAACTTTACTTTTGGTCCAACAACAAAAAATTATGTTTTGATTTTTTATAGCAATTGTGTAATATATACACACATAGCATTTTAGATTTTTACTGTTTTTAACCTAATTTTAAGTGGAAAACTCAATCCTAATTAGTGAAACAAACTGTAAGTTATATTGCATTTGTCGAAAATGGTTACAAATATTCCAATCTCATAAAAATCATAAAAGAAATAAAACGAAAGTACAAAAAATCTTTAGTGACTACTAAAAACATTGACAACATCACCAGTACGTATCCAACAATTTCATTACCTTGGGTACCAATATTGTCTCCCAAATCGCGTAAAGTGTTTAGGAAGGCAGGATATAAAACGGTCTTCAAATCAAACTTAAACCTAGAAGCAATATTGACTTCAAGAAATAAATCCAAACTACAAAGGAACAGCCACCCAGGAGTTTACCTTATTAAGTGCCGTTGTAACAAAAAGTGTATTGGTGAAACAAAAATGCATATAAAAACACGCAACAACACAAAAACAGTACAATAGGAAATAAAACAGAAAGATCAGCATTAGCCACACACATGAAACATTGTGCACAACAAATTAACTGGGACAGTTGCAGAACTCTAAAAGTCAATAACAAAAAGTTTGATAGGAAAGTTCGTGAGGCACTTGAAATACAGTACCACCAATGTGCCCCTCAACAAAGTGTCAACAAAATTCTGGACACCATTTCTAATGCACTTACGTCAGAAAAAGACGAAACCATTCCATTGACATATAATAAAATTGCCGTTTAAAAATAACATATAAACAAAAACAAACAAAATCTTTTAAGCTGAAGCTGGTCACAACAATCCAGCGAAAATTTCTTTTAAAAAATAAAAAATAAAAAATAAATTTAGTATTGAGAGAAAATCGTATTTATTAATGTTTATAAAATAATAATAATAATAATAATAATAATAATAATAATAATAATAATAATAATAATAATAATAATAATATATATATATATATATATATATATATATATATATATATATATATATATATATATATATATATATATATATATATATATATATATACACTATAGTATGCATATACAACATGCAATATAATATATACATATGTATAAAATATATAAGTATATATTTTATAAATATCTATAGTGTATATATATGTATATGTGTGTGCGTGCGCGCGCGTGTGTGTGTAAATGCAAAATAATCTCTATCTTTATAAAAAAAATTATGTAAAACACATACCCTTAATATTTCGTTGAAATTGTAATTATTTTTCATCATTATATCTTTTTCTCGCTCAAGAATTGCCAAACAAATAAACAACTTAAAGTGAGGAGTAATTGACTGACACCACAATGCCTTTAAAAAATTTTAATTTAACTTTTAGTTTAACCAATCGCAAGAAAAAACGGGAAAATCTTTATACGTAACATTCATTTTTTTTTTTGCAAAATTAATAAAAAACCATTATTGATTAAAGTTAGTGTGTAATATTTGTGATAAAAAAATCTAATTGGTTTAAACTTAGAACTGTTAACTGAACTTATTCAAAAAGTTGCAAACTTAAAATAATATTTATTTCTTTATTTACAATATTTATACAGGAAGTTTATATAAGTTGTAAAAACTGATTTTTATATGATTCCTGTAAAAATCATAACTAAAAACGTGTTTAATTCATATGTAAAATGTTAAAAAGCAAACTAAAAAAATATTAAATATAGTAAAAAATATTAAAAATTGTAAATTAAGAAAATATGAATGATTAACAATTAAAAATGGCTTTCAAACAATTGAAAATGACAAAGGTTGTATTTTACAACCTTGTTGTAATAAAAAGCAGTTATTGGTAAATGATATTTTAAATGATATTCAGTTGATGAATAGTATGCTTATTATAGCTTTTTATTGATATATATATAGAATACAAGTTTTGATGCACGCCTTTGACGCGCACAAAACTTTGCTTAAAAAATTATTTGAAAAGGTTTACTTTAAAATTATTTTAATAATTTTAAAGTAAACCTTTCTTTTTGCTTTTTGGGTTTTTTGCTTTGTATTCAGACTACATGCTTATACTATGCTCTTTCAATATAAAATAACTCTGCTCACACTTTCTTTCAATATAAAATAACTCTGCTCACACTTTCTTTCAATATAAAATAACTCTGCTCACACTTTCGTTTATATCTTTCAATATAAAACAACTCTGCTCACACTTTCTTTCAATATAAAATAACTCTGCTCACACTTTTGTTTTTACTCTTATAAATTTATTTTGTAAATAAAATAGTATTTTACATTACAAAGTATTTACAAAAAACGCATTTTAATTTTTACAAAGAAAATATAGGCAACTTAGTTATTGAACATTGTAATTGCTCTTTATGAAGTTTACAGTTACACGTTAAAGATTAAAGGTTTGCATTTGGTTATTGGGGAAATAAATTTTTATGTCATTTATGCATCGCACTCGTAATAAAGCGACGTATAATTGCACATGTCTGAAGACTGCTTTTGGCAGATATAATCCAATTTTTTTGAACGTTTGCACTGTCTTTTGTTAATTATTATCGCAAATGATATTCAAACTGGAAACTGATGTCGACGCAGATGAAATGGTAGTGTCTAGTTATTTCAGCATATTGTAATCTATGGGACTAAAACGAATCTGCCTTTGTAGCAGCCGGTCGTAATTCTGCAGTCAATTAGATGTTTCTCAAGCCGTTCAATGGTAAGTCTCCTTCTATTGCATAGTCCATTTTTAACGTTGAGATTCCTCAATAACATTGCAATTGCGCTGACCTTTAATTTTAATTCATGCGGCGAATGTCCAGGCGGAGTAATGCTATTGAAGAATTCTAGCGGAAAATGCGTTCTGTAAACATTTTTCTCACATTTAGCTTTGTAGATACTTTTGTTTTTTTTTTCCACTCCGGGTAATAGACGTAAAATCTTGTTGTTTATCTCTAGAGAATCAAAGTTTTTTAGAGTTAGAATAGCTTTTTCTGATAATCTATCACTCGGGTAATATTCTCCAAAGATGTTGTTATTGAGATTGTGGCTAAGACACTGATAAGGTAATTCTATTTTTCTTTTATCTTTTTGTTCTATTTTGCCATTGCCAATTTGCAGTAGGAATTCAGCCCATCCAGATGCATTGGAGTGCGGTCACGTGTTACGTGATAATTAAGACGATTTTGATATGACGCCAAAAAGGCAATCACTTGATTGGCGCCTCTACGATTGATTCCTTGGATGCTTTTGAAATTACAGGAGACACTTATCAAAAGTTGCCACCAAGAACGACAATTTTTCTCCCAAATGGTATTTTAGTTTTCATAATGCCGCGTAACAAAGTATCTACTGCCTCTAGTCCAAGTCAAGGTACAATTGACACCTCATCCCAGATAATCACATTGATTTGGCAGAGAAAATTGGCTCGTTTACTTTGGATTTTGAGCAGCGATGTCCAATTAGCTGCCAAGGCACTGGCAAGTTGAATGCAGAATGCACTGTTTGTTCAAGTGGCAGCAAAGTAGCAGCAATACCTGACCACAAAACAGTTAGAGACTTTTTGCTTTGTCCAGCAAAAATGTGGGTAATGGTTGTGTATAGGTATGTCTTACCCAAACCACCTAGCTCATTGATGAAGAATCATCGTTTGTCACTATTGATGCATGCAAGAACAGCATCTGTAGCTGCTTTTTGTTCTTTATTCAGAGTCAAGTACTGTTTTTAATGACATTTGAAGGAAAGATACTTCTTTTAAACTGTGACGATATTTATTGTAATCTTTCAGATATCTAGCTACCCGTACTGCTTCTTTAAATGTTGGATAGGTTATTCCATTGACTGTTTGTAAATCCTCAAATGATGTAGCTCTGTGAGTGTATAGTAGCATGACCTGTAGGTAGTAGCGCTCTTCTTCTCTTGGACTGACCATATATACATACGTCCAATTTCTTTTCTGTCTTGTTTTCGTGGTGTCCATTGCATTGATGTTCTATTGAAAACAAAATGCTCTGGTATTTAGTAGTGCAAAAACTGTCACAAATCGATGCTGCTTCTTCTTTAAAACAGTTTTTCAAGCGCTCATTTAATTGGAACCATACCGTTAAAATTGTATTTTATGCATTAGTTCTTTCAATTGTGCTATCTTCAGTACCTGGTTGGAAGTAAACAGTTTGAAAATCTGGTAGATGTACAGCTAGGCAATAAATAGTATGTGATCGCATTTCCATATCAAAGCCGAATACTTGCCAGGCAGCTTCTGGCATACTAACATATAATGTGCATCCAAATGGGCCAAAATTTTGTCATATACAGGTTGTCGCTGGCACTGTTGTTTTGTTGAATATTTATTGCTGCTTTTTCAGGTCCCTTGTAGATATACTTGTATAGGTACTTAATTGATGTGATGGTAGCATAAATTTTGACATTGATGTGACAGTTGTACTTTGTTATTTATTAATTTTTAAAATTCAATAACACCCATGTATGTGATAACACAGCAAAAAAATTTTTCTTTTAAAATTTCATCCAGTAGTGTTTTTTATTTGATATGGAATACTCTCGCCACTACATTTGGTCTGTCCTATGTTTGTTGATGTGGCAAAAGATTTTCTGTAATTTCTGTACATTTTGGATTGCATGTAATCATAATAAATAAATCTAGTTTCCATATTTTGCTATGATAGCCATTAGGTCTTGATAAGATTTTATCATCGCTCTTGGACTCCCTGGAAAAGTTGAAGGTAATAAAATCCTCCTTCGACTGATGTCGGTAGTGTCATCCATTGCTAAATGATCTTCTAGCACGCGATAATGTTCGGCTTACACTTTAGCTTGATGTAATCAATCATTATTTAGGCAATTTTGTTCTAATCTACATATGCATCTACAATGTACTGCTGAAAGAGTTTGCCAGCACATAAAAGTGGGTTGTACTCATTTAGTTTAATCGCCAGTCAATAACTATATTATTTCATTTGTGCAATGCAAGCACATTTTCAATGCTATGGCGCTTTGGTCACATTTGGATGCTACCTACTTTCACCTTTTGGAAAGAGAAACAAATAGGTGAGTGAATCGCAACAGGAATCAATATTGTCAATAAATTGATTTTGACCAATTTTGTAGTAAATTGCAAAGCTACGGGTAGGTGGTAATTCATCATTTTCTAGCAGAAATACCACTACTACTTTGCCCATGATTGGTGTGTTGTATTGTCCTTGATCCAAGACGGGACTGATGTCAAGAACTAATTGAACCTGTGGCGCTGCACCTGCTTCCTCATACGCTGTTTTTTTTTTCAATTTCAGCTATATCTTTCATCATACGAAAAGTTTTGGCATATGGGTTTACTCGTTTAAGCAACTGGCTCAAATAGAACATCAACTGCTTGTCACAGTTGGTATTCGCGACATGCCCCATTCAATCATCCGCTTCCACCGTCGAAATCAAGAATATTGAATTGTGCATATTGACGCATGTTAGTACCACTTAACTGTAAAGAGCCAATTTGATGGTAAATCGGTGGATTTGAAAGCAATATGACCCACTTTCTCACCGTGTGTTGAATTTTGCTCCCAATTGAAGCCATAGCTAGTGTGCTGTTGTAATGTTAAATATTTGATCTGAAGTTTTGCATTATTTCTGTATTTCCATCTAGCAGCTGTTGTAATTCTAGTGGATAATTTTGAATTGATAAAGCAATTGTACCAAAATTGCAGCAGTCAATTGTTGTCTTTCTTATGGCTATATTCAGCTGCAAAATGAAGAGTGTCACAATGGATGCACTGATGGTTCATTTTTCCAATATATTGTTCTTCTGGTAGTATTAATTTTAATGTACCATCAAGCCCTGTTAGGGCTAGTTGGCGTGTAAGATTTCTATTCTGATGTTGTCAAAAATATTGATGTCGTTCTTGATCATTTTGCAATCACTTCTGCTGCTGTTCAGCTGATTCTGTTAGGCGCTGTTTCAAATGCCGTTGGCAATCATACTTGTAAGAGTTCCGGAAACTTCGAAAAGTTCCAGAAACTTCGAGAAGTTTCTAGAACTTTTCAAAGGTATATATTGAATGATATGTTTATTGGTATATATAGAATGATATGTTTATTACAACTTTTAAATTATGGAGGGGAAGCTGAATATAATCTTTAAAAGCAGCTAAATTCTATCAATGTATTTGCAGACAATGAGGCAAGTTTCCCAATAAGGCAAATAAATGACATCTTTTTTGAATGGAAACAAGTCTTTTTGGGCATTCTTCTATTTTAGCAATTGTCAAATGATGTTTAGTTTCTTAATGTTTGTTGAAAATAACTAGTAGCATTTATGGAAATGTTCTATG